TGGGTTGAACAAAATTAACTAGTTTTTAATTTATGTCAACAGTTATAATTAATGCATATATTTGTAAATACTTTTAATGTATATTCTTCTTATATACAAAAAGCAGTAACAAGACACTAAGTTTCCTAGAAATGGGGTATAAGACTAGATACTTTTCTGGTTTAAAAAAATGACTCGTAAAAAAAACATGGATTTGCTGTTACCTAAATAGCTTAAAGGTCTAACTTTGTCTGTCATTAGATTTTAAAGTAAGTTTTCTTTCATGAAGCCTCTTTTACTTAAAAAGAATTAAGCCAGGCTTTTACAAAGGTTGTAAGAGGATCTGTGACAGATTTATTCAAATATTCCACTGTCCCACTAAAATGTGCCTTTTTGCCTTCCTATAGCTAGAGCTGAATAACAAAGATTGGCTATGATTGCTGACTATTACTTGCAATAAGACATATCCACTGAAAACCAAAATGGAGATAACATACATTTCATTCATTCATTCATTCCTTCCTTCCTTCCTTCCTTCCTCAGGGCTTGTGGTAGGTATTGTGGTGGCAGTTGAGGCCAGAATTTACAAGGCACAAGCCCAGGCTCCAGATTTTCAGACAGGTAGGGGAGATGAAACATACACTCAAGTAACTATCAAGTGGTATCAGAAAAGAGAAATAAATATACCATAATTAAGAGAAGAAATGTGAACAAATCTAATCCTTAACCAAGTATATTTATGAAATATAAATATATACAAATATTAAAAATGAATCTTTCAGAAGTATCTAAGCAACATTTAAAAACTTACTGGCAACTGAAAACAACAGTAGAATTTATAAATTCAGTAGCTCTTAAGACAGCCACATCAAACTCAATCTCTTTCAGTTATGGTCTTGATTTAATTTAGAATTCTGCTTTCCTTTCTGTGCAACACAATTATTTTCAGGGACAGACTGGGAAAACAGTCTTGACCTAGGTTAATTACATCACTTTCTTTTAAGATTAAAAAGATGTATTATTTTCAAATCTACACTTTTTTCCTGATTACAAAAGTAAACATGTTCATTATCCAAAACCCAGACAAAAAAGGAGGTAAAAAGTTAAATTCATTCCTAGTGCCTCCATTCAGAGACAAAACTGTTAATTTATGATAATTAGAAAATACAAAAAATGTAATGAAAGTACGATTTTATAATGAATGTCCTACACTTAATTCAAAGGAAAAAAATCTGTTTGGTAGATACTCATGACTGTTCTTGTAAAACCTAGCAGATGCATGCTTGACATACAATATCACAAAAAAATCAGAGTGTAATGCCATGAATAAAAAAAGTTATAAACAAACTGTTCCACCAGAATGTTGTACAACTGCTAAATTATGAAATTATACCAGAATAAAATAAAATAAAATTCTGGCTCAGAATACTCTCTCAAATTGCTCAAAACCCTAAAGTGGGAATGTTGGTGTATAAAAAGTACACAGTATCCAAAAATTATTACTCTGAATAACTGGGCTTTACAGGAAAAGCAATAAACATTACATAAATGGTGATGGGAAAAAAATACTATAAAAAATGAAAAAAAACCCAAATACTACATTACAGAGAAGGATTCCCAGTGGTATGGTATAGAGCAGTGGTTTCCAAACCTTCCTTCTCAGTACTCTTAGTGTCTCAATAATTTTTTCATGGAGCTCTAATGCCAAAAGAAATAGCTAACAATCCTGTTAATTACATCCGATTTTAAAAATAGGTATATCCTAACAGTTTAGTAGCTATTTAAAAAATAATACCCATATATTGAAAGAAATATATTTTATTTCATTCTTTAATAACCACAATTACTTACTAATGGGATGGGTGCACCTGATGGGCACTGTTCAACTTCTGAAATCTTGGTACAAGATGGACACCACCACTCTATTCCCTGTTCCACACTGATTTTGGTGCAGTGTTTGCTTTTTATCACAGCAACTGCAGAAAGCCTAACTTTCCCAAGATAGGTCATCATCAAAAAGAACATAGCAGGTCTAATGCTGAAAGTGGGAACTTCCTGGAGCCAGAGGTTCACACAGCGTCTGGCAGATGTGGAATAGCCACTTCCTAGGGAAATTTAAAATAACTTGTGCTGCACTTGTAAGCTTGCTGTGGCACTCCATGGCAACTGGCTTGGCACGGTTTGGTAATTGTGGCTATAGGACAACCTTACCCCCTTGCCCCATTGTTACCACAATACTGTTCGGAACTTCCGAATAAACAGGTGCCTTGGAAAGACTTGATGCTTCTGATGTGTAAACTGCTGGTCCTTTTATCACAGAGCACGTAAGTCCAAAAGGGACACACAGTATTCTTAATTATCTGTAGACAAAAGGAACCCTCCTCCCATGGAGTCCCACAGAACATACATGCTACTCGGTTAATAGGTGGTTACAGAGCCACTTTCAGACTATTTACTCCTACCCATACAAGTGCTTGTAATAACAAATAATCCTATAAACCTACAGTCTTTCTTTACAACAAGTAATCCTACAATTAAACACATAATCCAACAGGCGGCTAAATATTATTTGCAAATAAGAGTAAAAAATACAGTATTGGATTGGCCAAAAAGTCTAGTTTTTTCCATAAAATAACAGACACAGTTTTCATTTTCACCAACAATTTTGTTGATTTGCATATTTTGAGTATGTCACCTATTTCCCACGTGGTATAGCATTGACCATTCTCAATTAATATCTCCATTTGATCACTGTCAACTTCAACTCGTCTGCCTGACCATGGAGTGTCATCCAGCAAAAAATCCCCAGCATGGATCTTCACAAACCACTTTTGACACAGTCAATCAATCACAGCACCTTCTCCATACACTGCACAAATCATATTTTGTGTTTCAGTTGTGTTTTTATCTTTTTGAAATAATAATGCATAATATGCTAAAAATATTGTGGATTTTCTTCAATCTTTAATATTAAGATGGCCATACAAAAATTTGCCAATTTTGTTAAGTTTTTTTAAATGCACACTGATATGACAACTGTGATAATACAATCTAACGAAATTGTTTCAAATGAAGTTAAAGACAACTAAGTGCTACTAGAGCCATCTTACAGAAAAAAACAAACTTTTTGGCCAACCCAATACTCTTCCCTAAGCTGTGGTTTTGATAACCCAAGGTCAACCTCAGCCTGAAAATACTAAATGAAAAACTCCATATAAAAATAATTTGTAAGTTCTAAATTGCACACCTTCCTGAGTAGCATGAAGAAATCTCTCACCTGGGACATGAATCATCTCTTGGTCCCGCACATCCATGGTGCACATGCTACCAGGTTATACTCACTGAGTAGCCTTCTCTGTCAACACATCAGCTGCCATGGTATCTCAGTGCTTGTGCAAATAATCCTTATTTTACTTAATAATGCCCTCCAAACATAAGAGTAGTGAGACTGGCAATTTGAATATGCCAAACAGAAGCCATAAAGAGATTTCTTTAAGTGAAAAATTACTTATGTGTAGGAAAAAACATAGTATATCCAGGGTTTGGTACTATCCAGACATTCAGGCATTCACTGGGGTTCTTGGAACATATCCCCCATGGACAAGGGTGGGGGATTACTGTATGCATCTTAAACAATCTTTGTTAAAGTAAAAAAAAGAAGCAATCACAGAGCCCTTCTGGTTTATAAAATAATCTGTCACAGTAATTTTACAAAGATTCTGTGGTAGGCAGAATAATGTCCCCCAATTCCCACTCCAAAATATATTCATGTCTTAGTTCCTGGAACCTGTGAATATGTTACCTTACATGGCTAAAAGATTAAGGCTACTAATCTGCTGACTTTAAAATTGGGATACTATCCTAGCTTATCTAGATGGGCTTAATGCAATCACAAGGATCCCTAAACATGGAAGAGGGAGACAGAAAATGAGAGTTCAGAGGAAGATTTGACCTTGGAAGGAAGGCGCAGATGATGTAATGTGAGAAGGATGTAATAGGATGTTTTGGGCTTTAAAGATGGAAGAAGGAAGCCACAAGCCAAGGAATGTGGGCAATCTCTAGAAGAAAGAAAAGGCAAGGAAATGGATCCATCCCGAGTCTGCCCACACTTTCATTTTAGCCTGGTAGGACCCAAGGCTAAACTTCCAATGTACAGAAATATAAGGAAATAATTTTGTGTTGTCTTAAGCCATTACCTTTGTGGTGACTTGTTACAACAGCCATAGAGAACTAATATACACCCCCAAAGATACCAATAACAGCAATAAAAACAACTACTATAAATGTTTCAGGTCAATTGGATGAGCTAAGTAAGATGCCTCTAATATACTTCCAAAAGGCATTTCCAGTAAGTTTTGTTTTGTATTGATGATGTAATAAGACTAAATATAAATAAATTTGTAGTTGCTGGTTTAAAGAATTTTACTGGAGTGTACTACAAATATCGTAGCTTTTTGCCTTTGTTCATTGTCCTTTCTGTTGCACAATGATATAATGGCTATAAAGAAGATACAAAATTTTTTATTATGCTTTGATATGAAATTTAAAAGCATATAAGCTTATCCATGCTTTATAAGCTTAAAGATTACATCTTTTTTCATATGTAAAATATCAGAGAAAATATTCTGTTTTTATTGAGTCTTTTTTTTTTTTTAGATTTTATTTATTTATTTTTAGAGAGAGGGGAAGGGAGGAAGAGTGAGAGAAACCTCAGTGGTTGCCTCTCACACCCCCCCCCACTGGGGACCTGGCCCACAAGCCAAGCATGTGCCCTGACTGGGAACTGAACCAGCTGACCCTTTGGTTTGGAGGCTGGGGCTCAATCCACTGAGCCACACCAGCCAGGGCACACTTTTCTTTTTTTTTTTAAAGATAGGATGATGGTTTTAAGGCTGGACAAAGGAGACCTTTTTGTATATTTAATAATTACTTATAAAAGCAAGAAAAAGTCTTACTGTCAGAGTATACATACTTCTATGAACTAAAAATACTTATTCAAAGTTCAAAAAGTCTGTGTTCACCTGTGGTTAAAGGCAGGTGTGTGATGCTGCTCAAACAGGTCAGGGTGAACCATGTGGATGATAATGTAGCCCCAGAGAACAGGAGGAGGAGAATTAGTTTCAGCATACCCCTGATAAAATCTGCAAACCTAAAAAAGAAACAATATGTTCTATTAATTCTAGCTGGATTTTAAAAATACTATTTAAATCAATGATATACTTTCATTTAATAATTTCTTAAAATTCCATACCTCCTTTTAAAAGCAAGTTAAAAATTTTTTTAAACTGATACATTTTGCATGTGTGATAAATGTTACTTTGTGATAAATGTTTTCTTCTCATAAAACACACAAAAAGTGATCTCTCTTCAGGATCTATAACTTACAGAGTGCATTCTGAGTTTTTAAATGCCACTTTTATAAACTTTCTATATTATTTTTCTATAATTGCTAAACGTCCCATAATGAGTGCATATTGTTTTAGTTCTAGAAAACAGGCTAACTTGTTGACATAAACTGGCAGAGATGGCTCTCCCTAAACTCAAACACATAATAAATACAAATGTTTGCAAGAGAGTCTTTGGGGTCCTACATGATCTGGTCTCTACCTCCACTCCCCCTTTGCCTTGCTGTGCTCTAGCTGGATGTCCCTGTTTCTATTTCTCATACTTGCTAGATCTTTTCCCACAGCAATGACCTTGTCCTGTCTGCCTGAAATGCTGGTGCTCCCTCCGCTGCTTGTTCCTCAGGTTATTCGGGTCTCAGTTCAACAAGGCTCTCCATGCTCACTGAAGAAACTCTCTCCATCCCACCTCCTGATTTTCTTCATAGTATTTATTTCTATTGGAATTTTTTTTGCATTACATTATTTTGTTGTTCCTATCGGACTGTAAGCTTCATGAAAGCAAGAACATAGCTCTGGAATAGTGAATACTATTCTTCAAACCTCATGACTGCTGTTTCATATCATTTTAAGTTCTTATAATCCCTGTTTTTTCCTGAATTAACATGAAACTAAAAGGCATCTGGTGGAGGTGCTCATCATTTAGTTATGACCAAAAATTTTTTCATCTGTTAATTGCTTTTCCTTATCTGCTGATTAACCGTTGATTGTAAAGGCACAATCCTCTCTGGCTGTGCCTGCATACAACTTACTCCATCCTTCAAATTGTTCCTATTGTAGAAAAACAGATTCTGCACCAAATAGGACATTTACCATGTTTTCTCTTTGAGGTTTTAAAAATGATTTTAATTTCTATTGTACTTATGTGACTGTCCCTATCCATACTTTTCCATACCATCTTTTGTTTTGCCCTTATTTGACATGATATGGTTAATCATGTTTGTAAGCATTATCTGGACTAAAATGACTTCCTATGAGAGCTGATGACATCTTTTGATAGGAAATAAGGCTGCACCTTTGCCCAGTGACAGGCTTGTTCTCAACTATGAAAGTTCACAGATAGAAAATTAGTCTGAAAATTTTGAGAGATGCTCCACAGCTTGATAGAAATGTCCCTCAAGAAAATCTAAGAAGCTTATTTTAATTCCATGTTCACCATACAGTTTTCTGATCTCTATTTTTGGCATGCTACCTGAACTTACTTGCCAGATAGGCAGATGGCCAGCTATGAGAGAATAAAACAGTTTTCTGTTACAATCAGAGCTGAGTGAAGTTGAACAGTTAGATAGTTTCACAGGGCCAGATCACCAAGAATAAACTGATCACTGGATCTGTTCTTTTTAGAGCCCTAGTCCTTTCAAATGGGCTAACAGTATCAAAGTATACTATTAGGACCAAAATAGTACATTTAGTAGTAGACTTTGGAAACATAATTTCCAAAAAGAAAAATCATCCAAAACACTCATGTCTATAAGGAGATTGCTTCTAGGAGTCCCAAAAATGGTGTTATAAATGTTATTTTATTATTTACTTAAGGCCGAGGCGATACCTACAATTGATTTCAAATCCCAGAGCAAAGATAGTACTTTTTAGAAATTCCATTTCAACAAATTAAAAACAGAAATGTCTTCATGCTACTTTTCCCTTCTAGTTCTATTTCTATGTAGTTAAAGATTTACAGGAAGAAAATAACGAGAAAGGAGAATGTGAGATGTCATTTCTGATATATAATGGTTCCCTCTGACCTATTTGGTGCTCAGAACAGAATTTGGTAAATGATGACTCACTCTAATTGGCTTGGAGATTTAATTAGAATAATTAGGTATAATTTTTATCAAATATGATAGGTCAATGCATTTCAGTATCAATATAGTGATTTTGCCACAATAGCTATCTTCCTATTCCTCCTCTTTAGCTTTTAGATTTTATATTTTCTGAATAAAAATCTCAAAGTGATTTAGAAATTACAGTGTCAATTTATTTTTTCATTATCCCAGAAACACTTTGCAAACTTTAAGATCTTTTCAAACTATTTTCTTGTGTTAAGCATGCTTAAGTGTTCAGACACTGAGATGATTTACCTATTTAAAATTTTTTTAAAATATATTTTATTGATTAGGCTATTACAGTTGTCCCATCTTTTTCTGCCCTTTATTCCACTCTGCCCTGCACCGCCTTCCCACCAGCATTCCCCCACCCCTTAGTTCATGTCCATGGGTCATACACAGAAGTTCTTGGCTTGTCCATTTCCTATACTATTCTTAACCTCCCCCTGTCTATTTTGTAACTACTATTTATGCTTCTTATTCCCTTTTCTTTTCCCCTCATCTCCCCCTCCCCTCCCCCTGATAACCCTACATGTGATCTCCATTTCTATGATTCTGTTCCTGTCCTAGTTGTTTGCTTAGTTTGTTTTTGTTTTTAGGTTCAGTTGTTGATAGTTGTGAGTTTGTTGTCATTTTACTGTTCATAGTTTTGATCATCTTTTTCTTAGACAAGACCCTTTAACATTTCATACAATAAGGGCTTGGTAATGATGAACTCCTTTAACTTTACCTTATCTGGGAAGTACTTTATCTGCCCTTCAATTCTAAATGACAGCTTTGCTGGATAGAGTAATCTTGGATGTAGGTCCTTGTCTTCCATGACTTTGAATACTTCTTTCCAGCCCCTTCTTGCCTGCAAGGTTTCTTTTGAGAAATCAACTGACAGTCTTATGGGAACTTTGTAGGTAACTGTCTCCTTTTCTCTTGCTTTTTTAAAAAAAAATATATATTTATTTATTTTTATACAGAGGGGAAGCAGGGGAGAGGGGGAGAGAAACATCAATGTGTGATTGCTGATTGCACACCCCCTACTGGAGACCTCACCCGCAATCCAGGCACGTGCCCTGATTGGAAATTGAACCACTGACCCGTTCGTTTGCAGGCTAGGGCTCAGTCCACTGAGACACACCAGTCAGGGTTCTCTTGCTGCTTTTAACAATATCTTCTTATCTTTAATCTTAGGTAATGTAATTATGATATGCCTTGGTGCATCCTTGGCTTCCCTGGGTCCAACTTCTTTGGGACTCTTGAACTTCCTGGATCTCCTGGGAAGTCTATTTCCTTGGCCAGATTGGGGAAGTTCTCCTTCATTATTTTTTCAAGTAAGTTTTCAATTTCTTGCTCTTCCTCTTCTCCTTCTGGCACCCCTATGATTTGGATCTTGGAATGTTTAAAGTTGTCCCAGAGGTTTCTAAGCCTATCCTCATATTTTTTAATTCTTTTTTCTTCATTCTGTTCTGGTTGAATGTTTATTTCTTCCTTCTGCTCCAATCACTGACTTGAGTCCCGGTTTCCTTCGCTTCACTGTTGGCTCTCCATATATTTTTCTTTATTTCGCTTTGCATAGCCTTCACTTTTCCCTCTATTTTGTGACCATATTCAACCATTTCTATAAGCATCCAGATTACCAGTATTTTGAACTGTGAGTCTACCAGGTTGGATATCTGTTCATCGCTTAGTTCTGTTTTTGGAGCTTTGATCTGTTCTTTCATTTGGGCCCTATTTCTTTTTCTTGGCATGCCTGTTATGTTGGGAGGGGCAGAGCCTTAGATATTCACTAGGGCGGGGCAACTCCAGCCACTTCATTGTGGCACTGTATGTTGGGGAGGGGTCAGAGAGGGAACAATGGCGCTTGCTCAGCTCTTGGCCAGCTTTCAGTCATTTCCCCTGCTGCCCACAAGCAAATTGGGCCCTTCAAGTACTGATTCCCAGGTGGGTGCATTTGTGTACATTCTAGGACCCTGTGGGGCTCTCCAACATTCTCTCCCGTGAGGCTGGAGGTTTCTCCTGCCACCGCAACCCCCACAGGTTTTTACCTCCAGAGGTTTTGAGGCTCTGTTTGCCACGCTGGAACCCTAGTTGCTGCGGTGTATCTTGCTCCCGTTGTTCCTCCCACTTTCTCCATATGCAAATGTAGGACTGCCTAGAGGGCCAGCCAGCACCTTGCCACGTGTCCTCTCTGCCCCTCCTACCATTCTGAATGAATGTTTATTCTATAACTCCTTGGTTGTTAGACTCCCAAACAGTTCGATTTTCTGGCGGTTCTGGTTGTTTTTGTTTTTAAATTTGTTGTTCTTCTTTTGGTTGTGCGAGGAGGCAAAGTGTATCTACCTACGCCTCCATATGGCTGGAAGTCACTGATTTACCTATCTTATTTGATCTCCCTAAATAATGTAATTAGATTTTTCCTTTCCTGGTGAAGTTAACTGCCAAATTTTGTTTTTGATTAAATAGGGTAAAATTATTTGGGAAGTAAATGAATATCATCTCTTTGGAAAGACCAAGAGTAGTTCTATAGGTAGTCACATATGGGAGTGACATTTTCATTCTTTTTTCTTTTTAGAATAAATGAGACTTTTTCCTTCTTCTCTCTCATTCTAAAAATGTGTAATCATAATGTGTTAGATCACAGTTTGATGAAACTACAAGTCTTTGTGGATATTTTTTCCATCAAAATGGAATAACTATTTAGACACACCTGCCAAAAAACCCACAAAAAATCTGCTAATCAGGATATACATGGCCTTTTCATGGAAACTTCTAGATGTGCTCTTACAAATGATGTTTTCAATTCTTTCCTATTGATAACTACCAATTTGCCTTTACTACTGTATCACCTTTCTTTGGGTTCCATTTGTAGATGTTGTTCTCTAATAAAATGGTAAGCGGCAACATAAATACACTGGAAATAGCTTCCAAAAACATTTCAGGACAAACCACTCTTGAGAAGGTTTATTGTAGCAGCAAATTCTACCTACTGCATGTTGATTTTCTCATAGCCTGAACAAGTGCCTTTGCCTATTTTACTTTTCCTTGAATTTTAACATTTATTTAGGGGAGCTGATGGTTCCTTTGGGCATTTTGTTTGTTTCTGGCTACTCCATGTTTAACATAAAATATTCTTACCTTGCTATAGCTATTCCAACAACACAGCCTCCAACTATGGACCAAAATCCAATCCAGCCAGCATCTACCTGTTAAGAGAGTGGTAGATACATTTAATACAAGACTATCGTGTTGAAACATAGAAGGCATGAAAAAAAAATCCTATATAATCCATATGTTAATAGCTAAATGGCAAAAAATCTAGGAAATACCATTTAAGAAAATGAATCAAATGAAAGGATTCATGTGTGACTAAGTAATACAAATATCTCAGTTACTAAATCCTTAACTTACTGAAATATTTGTATCAAAAAAATAATCAATGTCACAACAAATATTTTTCAAATATGTTCTACATGCCTAGCATTATAATAGGAAGTCAAGAAAACAGAAAAAGGACAAATGATGGTCATTGATCTCACCAAGTTTAAGTATAGCCAACATACTAGGAAATAAGTGTTAAAAACACCTAGCAACAACTAGTAATGTATTACTAGAACACAAATGGAGGGGGCAATGTAGGTTTGAAGGTTGAGCACCTGGGGAGACTGGATAGAGTAAGAATTTCAAATGTGTACCTCCGTCCACTCTTGAGAAAGCATTTCCAACACTGCCATCTACTAGCTTTGTGACCCTGGGCAAATTTTATCATGTCTTCTTATATATAAAATACACCAACTGAGATAATTTGTGTACAGATCTCAGATCAGTGGTCAGCATACAGGAAGTGCTCAATAAAGGTTATAGCTGTCATTAATACCTGATGATACTTCTCCACCTAATGTCTTATCTCTTTCCTACCTTCATGGCCAAACTTATTCAGAGCAATCTACAAATGTTGCCTTCATTTCCTCATCATGGCTGTATCTTTAATTCTTATTATGACTTGGCTCTGTCTCAACTCACACGCTAAGTCTCAGTTTTCTCATCAGTAGAATGGCGATAATTTTTGAGAATTAAATAAGTTAATAGATGTAAACTGCTCAGTACATGTTAGTTGTTGCTACCACTGAAATCCCCTGTGCCCCTAACAATACTGGTTCATTCTGTTTCCTCTTTCCCCTTCCCATGTCCACCACACTTGCTTATTATCTTATTTCTTACTCTGGACTCCTGTAATAGCATTTTGAACGGTTTCCACGATCTATTCTTCCCAATATTGACAGAATAATTATCCCAACCATTTTACTTCTCTGCTCAGAAATGGTCACTGGCTTCCCTGTTGGGCAGAGGGTGAAGTCCAAATCTGACCTGGCACTTGAGAGCTGCCTCAAATAACTTCTACCTTTTATTATTTTTTCTAGTCATATTTTTCATTATACCTGTGTCACAGATCTTCAGCTGTCCACCAAAACATGTTATCTTTTACTACCCGGGTACTTATCTAGATTAAAGGTCCCAGCCCCTTTTCAGTTACATGTGACCACATGATGTGGTTCTCATTAATGGAAGTAGGCTAGAACCTGGAATACAAATATATGCCTCCTCTGTGCTTTCCTTTCCTTTCTGCCAACTGGAATCCAGTGGGGTCACCCAGCTTCACCCATGCCTATGATGACAAGCTCCTAGGAGACAGAAGAGCTGCAAAGTGGAAGCAACCTTGGTCTGTAAATCAGTGTGAGGAAAAGACCTGTCCAAATTATGGGCAACTGTCCTAGGTTGTTAGGCAAAATGTCTTAGATTGCTATGTGAATGAGAAATGGATTTCCTCCTAAGTTTCAAAATTTTGGGATTTCTACCTCTCGTAACAGATTAGCTTACTCTAAGTAATATAATAATTTTACACAAGTTCTTTGCTGTACCAGTGTTTGGTGCACAGAAAACATAAAAGCTCTCTGGAAGAAGAGAACACCTGAAGCTTAAATTACCTCTATATTTTTTTATACCATTGGCATTTGGAGCTAGAGAATTCTCTGTTCTGCAGAAGTACTCCTCTCATTGCAGAGCACTGAGCATCCATTGTCTAAGGCCCACATAATGCTATTAGGTTCCACCAATATATCCACCTATCTTCCACGGGAATGGGGTCCTGTGCCAGGCTAAGGGCCTCTGTGCATCTAAGCATACCATGGTCCTTTCAGGACATCTTGTGCTTTTCTGCTTCCTTGTTCATGACATTTCCTTTAGTTAATAACATTCTGCACAATAATTAATTTTTTTTGTTTTGATTTTTTGCCTTCATTTAATTTTAAATTTCGCTTTACTTAATACCTGGTGTGATTAATTGTCTGTCTTTCAGAGTTTGTACAGAGATACTTGAAAGGGCTTCTCAGGATTTACAAGATGAAGCACAGGATCTCTGAAATCAGAATCATTTAAATGGGTGCTACCCTTCTCCTTCTTGAAAGTGAGCATGCTTGAAATACCTGCTATTCAGAAAAATACATTAGGAAATTAAAGAAGGCTTACTTCTTATGGTGAGGTATACTAGGTAATTTGGATCAATATTCTGATTGAGAATTAGAAAATCTGGGAGGAAGTGTATCTGATGGCATCAGAGAGCCAAGAAGGTAATCCATAATTATGGAAACATGATATAGAATGACAAGGAGACCAAGGGAGATAAACCTGGTATTTGCGGACACTTTTCTCTTGGGGGTGGGGTGTCTGCTGATTTTAGAAAAGGTGGCTAAGGGGCTGAGAAGTTATCAGCCTCATTGACATAGAGAAAAAGAAAAGTGAGGTCAAGCTTTACTGTGGGGTGGGTGGCCTTGTAAAAAATCCCAGCCTTTAGCTGGGGACTCTGAAGGGCTATACCTAAGAGCACAGTGACTTGAAAATATTATTTTAAGTGGCTAAAGCCCAGCTTTAAGTAGTCCCAACTCCTGAAACTGGATTGAGTGATTGCTAAACTCCTGCAAGAAAGACATAAATTCTTTTTGGAGGAAAATAATATCATCTTGCAGCTTATCTCTACTTTTCAGAGCACTACTATGTCTAGCACTCAGTCAAAAATATGAGAACACATAAGGAGGTAAGAAAATATCGATGGATACCACAAATATAAAAAGACTCACAGGGGATCCAGATAAAGGTATTGAGATACAGACTTTAAATAACTATTTTAATAGTTACATTTATACAGAAATTTGGGAACTGTGAAACAGTTTTATTAACAAAATAACAAAAATTTTATAACAAAAATATAATTGAAATTAATAATTCATAGATAAGTTTAATAGTATATTAGATTGAAAACTAAAATAGTGAGTAGGAAGAAAGGCTAGATAAAATATCCTGTATGAAGGCAAGAAAGACCAAAGGATAAAAAATATGGAAGAGAGAATAAGAGACATAGGGAATACAATATGAAGGTATTACATATAAGTCTCAAAGAAATATTGGCTAAGATTTTTCAGAAACTGATGAGAAACATGAAGCCATATATTCAAGAAGTTCTACAGACCTCAATCAGAATAAATTTTTAAAAAAACTGTCACCTACTTATATCATAATAAAACTGCTGAAACCAAAGACAAAGAGAAAACCTTTAATGCAGCAAGCTTTTAAATTTGAGAACTGACTTCTCTGTTAAAACAATGGAAGCCAGAAGAAAACAGAGTATTTCTGAAGAAACAAAGAAAAAAACTGCCAACCAAGAATATTATGGTCGACAAAAATAATTTTAAAATAAAGGTAAAATGAAGACATTTTCAAGTCATAATAAAAAAACTCCAAACGAGAATTTGTTGCAAATACACCACACACATACACACACACACACTAAAGGGTGCTCTTTAGACAGAAGAGAAAAACCACAGATATCTGACTAAAGATAAAGGATGAAAACAAAAAAATGGGTGACTATAAATAAATATTGACTGTGTAAACAACAATAATGCCTTGTGCAGTGTAAAATACATGGCAATTAAGAGCACAAAAATGCTAGACGGTTAAATGGAGCTAAAGGGTTCTAAAGACGTTGTAGACTATTTCAATTACTTGCAAAAATCAAATATATTCCTATATGACAGCCAAGAGAAAATATAATTTTAAAATTACCAATTATAATAGCTTCATAAAGTATCAGATACTTGGGAATAAATCTAACAAATATATAGATGGATCTTTGCAGAAAATCACAAAGCATCATCTGAAGACATTAGGGACTAAGCAAATTAAGAGAAATATAACGATCATGGTTTGGAAGACATGGTACGATAAAGAAGTTAATTCTCAAATTGACTTACAAATTTTTTTAAAAATTTCATCAAAATTCAAAAAAAAAAGGAATATTATTCTACTAGATACCAAAACTTTCAACATTCGAAAACTTAAGACAATTTGGTACTAGCACAAAGAGAGAGCAAAAATGGGTTAGAAACACATTCATGCATATGAGGACTCTTCATAGTGACAAAGATAACACTAGAGAGCAATGGGGAAAGTATGATCTTTACAAAAACTGCTATTAGGTTAATGGGTATTTATATTGGGAGAAAATTAACTCCTACCTTATAACAAGCACAAAATCCAATTCTAGGTTTAAATATGACAGGATTAACAATAAAACTACAACAGCACTATCTAATAGAACTTTCTGTGAAGATGGAAATGAAATATATCTGCACCAATCAATACGGTAGCCACAAATCACAAGTGGCTTGAAAAGTACCTAGTGCCATTGAAGAAGTGAATTTTTAATTTTTATTTCAACTGATTTAAATTTCAATTAAATAGCCATATGTTGTTAGTGGCTACTGTACAGGACAATGCAGTTCTACAAGGTAAAAGGGGAAATCCATTTATAAACTTGGAGCAATGATTTCTCTCTCTCTCTCTCTCACAAACACATGCACGCACGCACGCACGCACGCACGCACATTACAATCTCTGCTAACTCCAACATTTAGAATATCTCAAAGTTAGTTTCTAGTGACTACTTTGTTTTGTTTTTTAAAATATGGGTCACGTTTTTCTGTTCCTTTGTATGTCCTATGTTTAAGTGATTTTTTAAAAACTGGATAGTATATGTCATGGACAACACAAAGATTCTGGATAATTTCATTTTCTTTAAAATGGTTAATTTTTATGTTAATAGGCAGTTCAATTACTAAATGATCGCCTTGAACTTGTGTGGGCTTGATTCTGTGTTTTATTATGGCAGAGAAGTAGAAACCAAGTTGTTTCCCAAGTCCCTCTCACTTAGTAGGACTCAATCTCCAAATTGTCTCCTCTGCAGATTTCTGTTGGGACTTGGCTTTAGGCTTTGTTTATGGTGGTCTAAGGAGAATAGGCCTTACTCTTTCTAGAGCATGGTACTACATTCTGAAGTTTGGCCTTTCTGGTGTCTCAGCAGAAGGCCAAAATGCTCATGAGGTTTTTCCACTCTGGCTGGGCCAGAACTCCAAGAGCCCAGCATTGTTTGCTCCCTACTATTTGTTCTGCTTTCAAACCTACAGCAGTCTCTCCGTTAAACCTCTGGAAGTTTTGCCCTTTAAATGTGCAGTACATTTCTCACTTGCTGAGGACACCACCCAGTCTTCTGGGGGCCCCCTTCTGCACAGCTCTCTTCTTTACAAATCAGTAAGAAAAAGAAGCCCAATAGGGGGCAAAAGATGTGAATGGGTATGTCACAAAAAAGAATATTCAAATAGCTAACAAACACTTAAAAAGATATCACTATGATGGTGTACAACTGCACAGCCATCAGCATGTCTAAATAAAAAGACCAACTTCATCAAGTGCTGGTAATGATGTGGAACAATGAGAAATTTCATGTACTACTGGTGGGACTGTAAACTGATACTACTACTTGGGGGATGTTTGGCATCACCAATCAAACCAGGTACACGCTATAACCAGCAATTCCATTCCTAGCTATGTATCCAGCATAAATGTGTATAGAGGAGCATCAAGAAACATGCATGAGAATGTGGTTACATAGCACTGTTTGTGACAGTCGAAAACTGTAAACAACTGAAATGCTCACCAAGAGCAAAATGGACAAGTTGTTTTCTATTCAAACAACGGAAATATCAGACCAGTGTGCTGGATTTCTTCCAGGTACCCTTTCAATCTCTCTGTCCCTTCCTATCATGCTATCTGGAGGCAAGAGGAAGGAATGAATGGCATCAAGAATATAGATAAAATGGCTATTTTTAAAGACATGGATATTTTTATCCTGAGACTGGAGAGAAAGTAAGAAATCAGATGCAGGAGTATCCATATATTTGATGATGGGATCTTAATATTTATAAAGTATAAAGGAAAGAAAAAGGATGGAGCCAATAAAACTAAGGTTTTCTTTATTTTTCTGTATAATAGAATCATTAATAACATCCATATACATGTGAAATTTGTGACTTAACAAAAGCCAGGAAGAAAATCAATATTGTTTATAACTATTTCATATGGACCTTGCTTTTGCAATAATGGTATGGAATAATGTTTTACCCAGGCCTTAAAGCTAAAACCAAGAACATTTAAAACACCCACAACACATAAAGAAATAAAATGCTTACTTGGCTGACATGCACTGGTGTTAAAATTAAGTCCAGAACTCCAGACCAGCCAGCAAATACACCTAGTGGTATGGCATACGCTAACGCAATCATCAAAAATCTCAAATTGCTGTAAGAGAGAAGTAAAAGAAAACATTACAGATCAAAATCTAGAATTTAAACTCTTACTCATGAAAACAGTCATTTGAAAACTGGAACACAGGAGACAAAAATAAAAAATATTTGTCAGTTTAATAAATTCAAAGTTCTTTAAATTTTTTATTTTTATAAGAAGTCTTCTTTGTTCATATTGTTTAAAATTGTCAATGTTTATTATACAGATGAATTACCAACATTATTTCATAGAGTGAGTACATAGGTTCAGTTTTTAAAAAAGCTCTTATTTGAAAGGATAAACTACTGTTGTTTAGGTGGGTACTAGTCTTATCGGTGATCACTTTGTAAATTATATAAATGTCTAATCACTACATTATACATCTGAAACTAATATTGTACAACTATAATTGAAAAATTAAAAATTCCAATGTTAAAAAATTACTGTTTCTCCTCAAATAAGGTAGTGAAAAAAACAATTAAAAACAAATATATGTTTTATATTTGTTCATAGCAGCACAATTTACAATAATAGCCAAGTGTTGGAAGCAACCTAAATGCCCATCAGTAGATGATTGGATCAAAAAATTATGGTACATTTACAAAATGGAATATTACGCAGTAGAAAGAAAAAAAGAACTACGAAACTTTGTGACAGCATGGATGGAACTGGAGAGCATTATGCTAAGCGAAATAAGCCAGGGTGCGAAAAACAAATACCATAGATCTCACCTATAAGCAGAACCTAAAAAACAAAACAAAGATGCAATGAAAATAAGACCAGCAACACTGAAAGGAAAAGAAACCAACAGAGACAAGAGGGAAGGAGGGAGGGGTGGGTGGGGGAAAAGGAAGGGAAGGGGCAAGTCAAGGAACATATAGCAAGGACTCATGGACAAAGCCAAAGTGGGGAAGGAATGAGGGAGGGAGAGAAGGGAGGGGGCAGGGGAAAGTGGTGGAGGGGAGGCAGAGACAAATGTATTTGAAAAAATAAATTAAAATAAAATTTAAAAAAAAGAAAATAAAAAAACAAATATATGATTCATTAGTTTTACCATTTTCAGAGTACAGTTTTTTGCTTTATTATTATCATTTGTTTTACTATTGTTTTTGTTTTATAATTATTTAATAGGCAATACAATTCAAAAGGCTCAAAAACTAACAGGTATATAAATATGAGGAAATTGTCTCTCTCTAACCCTTACTTCCCTCTTCCCACAATTAAGTTATCACTTTCTTGGATAACTTCCTAGAAATATTTCAGAATACACAAGCCAATACAAAAATATATGTATATTTCCCTCAATCTTTTACATAAATGATAGCATATTACAACCATTTGCTGAACTTTCCTTTTTCAACTTTAAGTCTTAAATCTCCTGTACAGTCAATATATACAGAGCTTCCTCATTCTTCCTTATAATTGCATAGCAATCCATTATGTCAGTATATCATAATTTAATTAACCAGGCCCCTACTGAGATATAAACATAAATTTTATATGTTTTATATAATCTATAGTTTACATGTTTTTATATATAGCATATAATTTTATTTCTTTGCTGTTAGAGTCGTTTCACATGTATACTAGTGCAAGTGGAGAATCAATTTCAAACAAGTGCAACTGCCATATCACAGAGTATGTATATATTTGTAACTTTAATACAGAATGCAAATTACCCCCTACAGAAATGGTACCACTATGTACCTATCAAAATTGTTAAAATAAAAACATAGTGATAACATCAATGTCTAGTGAGGATGCACAGAAACTGGAAGACTTATATATTGCTCATGGTAATGAAAAATGGTATAGTCCCTTGTTGGGAACCATCCCGCCTGGTTTCAGGGACTGTAGCCTTGCTGACAGGCAAGACAGTCCCAAGGCTGGAGCTGAGCAAGGAGGCCTTGGGAAAATAGGCCACTGAGGAGACAAAACCTGTCCCCCTGGCAGGGACACTGCCCCTGCCTCCCTCACATCACCCTGCTTGGACCCTGAGGATAGCTGGTTAGTCAACGACGGGTAAGACCCCTTGGTGGCAGGGGCAACCTAAGACAGGCACAGTCGCACAGGGACCATCAGGTAAGGACTTGGGGGACACAGAGAAGGGGCAAAAGACCCTCATCCCTCAGCTTTGTCATGGCTTGGAGTCCTCATTCTATCTGAAAGAAGTCTCATCTCTTGGCTGCTCTGCTCCACTTGCCTGGCTCAGGCTTGAAACAATACTAAAGGCAGGTACAGCCCTAAATTGGATCAGGTGGTTCCCGGGGAAAATTAGGCCTGGAAAAAGGAATGCATTAAATCCTATGAAACTAACTTTGCTAAGAATGCCCTGGAGTTAATGAGTACTGATGTTTGGGGTTGAGCATAGAATGTGATCCATTTCTCAGGTTTCAGGACCAAATGGGTGAATGGGTGCCACCCTATCTACCAGACCCTGACCTGAGGCAAACCTCTGTGTTCCTTCAATTGTTATCTATGCTCTCTATCTGTTTTCTGTAACCATAGCTTTTTGACATTGATTGATAAGCTTTGCATCCATGCTGTATACCCCTGCACATATCATTCTCAATAAAAGCCACTTCAAGAGAAGGGCTCAAGGCATTCTCTACTGCAGGGAATCGCCACCCCCTTTTCCTGGCAAACCGAGAGTGTCTGGAACGACTTATTTTATTCTCCTCCATCCGCGGAGACGCAGGGGGACTCTGTGCTGGACGCAGTACCCCCCTCAGCCACTCTGGAAAATGGCATTTTTAAAAAATGAAATACATAATTACCATACTATTCAGCAATTTTACTCCTGGGCATTTATCCCAGAGAAATGAAACTTATGTTTGCACAAAAGCCTGTATACAAATATTTATAGCAGCTTTACTTGTAATAGCCAAGAAAAATAGAAACAACTCAGATGTCTACCAACAGTTAAATAAACTATGTACATAAATACAATGGAGTACTACTCAACAATAAAAAGAAATAAAAATTGATCCACAAAACCTGAATGATTCTCCAGGGAGTTATACTAAGTGAAAAAGCCAACCCCAATATTTTTGTACTATGTGATTCCAGTTATATAACATTTTTGAAGTGACATTATAGTAATGAGAACAGATTAGGTTTGCCAAGGGTTAAGGAATAGAGTGGGAGGGAAGTGGGTGTGACTATAAAAGGGCAACACAAGTGATCCTTGTGATGATAAAAATGTTCTGTATCTTCAATGTATCAATGCCAATATCCTGGTAGTGATATTGTACTATTGTTTCATAAGGTGTTACCACTGGGTGAAACTAGGGAAAGAGTTCATGATTCCTCTCTGCTTGTGAACCTGTAATTATCTCACAAAAAAAAGTTTAACTTTTAAAATATAATTAAAAGTAGATACCATTCAAAATACCTATTAACAAATTTTTAAACTATAAAATATCTAAGAATAATCCAGAAAGGCCCAAGACCTGGGAAGGGGAGCAGCAGCAGAAGCAAGTTTGAATCTAATTAAGAGAATAGAAAATGAAATCGATGAAGAGGCAGTCCATGCTGTCAATTTACCCCAAAATAAGTCTACAAATTCAACACAATCACAGTTAAAATTTCAGTTGCATCTTTTAGAAACTCAAGAACTATGTCTTAGAGTTTATATGGAAGAATAAAAGTCCTTGGAAAGCAAACATGTCCTTAAAAAAATATGTAAAAGAAGGCCTTTGCTCTATCAGATATTAGGACAAACTACCGTACATAACCAAAATAATAAAAAAAGTATGGGATTGGCTCAAGAACAAAGAGAACGATGGAGGAACATAGACACAGAAACTCAATATACACTAAAGTTGGCACCACAAATGAAAGGGCTAGGAATTCTTTAGCAAATGGTGCTAGTTCATTTTATGGAGGAAAAAACCCCAACACACCCTGTATCACTAGTTAACACCATAGACTGAGGTGGATTCTGGGCAGGTTGAAAACGTAAAAGAGAAAGGTAAAACAAGAAAGTTGATAACTAAGGAATTCATTGGCAAAATTAGTAGGCAGAATGGGAATAAATATTTGAACATTAAAATTTTAAATCAACAAGGAATTTATACATAGAATATGTAAATCATTAAGAAAATGATAGCAACCACTATTAATAAATGGGCAGAAACTAAGAGGTATTTATAATAGATGAAATCTAAAAAGCAAACAACTATATAAGAGTATCAAACTTATTAATAACCAGGAAATGCAAATTAAATAAAAGATATATTAGTTTATACCTATTAGACCAGCAAAAATTAGAAAGATGGATAATACCAAGTTTGTTGGGCATACAGGGGAAAGGCACTGCTGATAAGCACAGGGATTTTGTAGAACAATCTAGCAATACTTGGCAAGCTAAGTGTAACATATCTATGATGCAGCAATTCTGTTGTGGGGTCTATTTTCCAAAGAAATTCTCAGGTCTACTGTGATGCATATGAGGAATTCACTGCAGTAGTATTGTGGTGAAAATGAATTGGAGGCAATCTGGGTACACAGGTGCAGTGGGGTTGATAAAATGTGATGATTTCATACCATGGAGTACAGAGAACTAGTTGTATTCAGTCTTGAAAACAGGGTGCTAATATCACAAAATGATTTATCCAGATACCATATGCCTCCTGATGGAAGAAGGAAGCAAGCATCACTTATGAAGTAGTATTGTAAAACCAAAACCAAAGCAAAAGCAAAAATCTGAGTTAGATCATAGCTCTAGCTAACAATTTATAGGTAATACAAAGGGCAGAGAAACATGGCAAACTACACTACCAATAGGCAATCAACAAAATCGAGGCCTTGGAGACAAGGGTTGGCTCCTCAACAAATAAATTACCAGGGAAAAAGAGAGAGATGGAAAGGGAACCTATAAATGATGATAAATTTGAGCCAACTACATTGCGTGAACCTAATTTGGGCCCAATTCAAACAATCTTAAAAAAAATTTATGACATTTATGAGACAAATGAAAATTTAAACACTGATATGATACTAGCAAACTACTG